GTTGGCACATGAACAGAAGCTTATGTGCCAGTTCTGAGCTGAAATCTGGAGGAGGAATGAGTCAGAGGGTAAAGAAGGAGCAGGGGAAGAAAAGGGAGTGCCAGGTAAAGGAAGCAATGGACACAGAGACCTGGGTTGAGTCAGGAAAGTGCAAAGGTTCAGAGTGGTGGGTGGGGACATGTGGCTAGGGACTGAGAGCCGCTGGGAGAGGTCAGGGGATATAAGTTCTGGATGATAGACTACAGAGTTTGGACCCAAAAGGAGACTTACAGGTGTCTAGGCAAGAGTGAACGGTGGCCTCAAGCAGAGCCACTCATGGATAGGGATGGATGGACTCAAGGGACAATGAAGAGTAAAAGGGGTGAACCAGCTGCGGTTTGGATGAAGAGTGTGAGACGGGGGAAGCCATGAAGAAGAGACCCCAGGTTCCTGGTTTGGGAAGCTGGTAGATGGGGGGTTCTGTGCACTCAGTTGTGGAAGGTTCTGTTGGTCCATTCCTCAATCCTGTACCATTTAGCACTAGTGACTGCCAACTGCTGGCATCTGTATCTGTCTGGGTTTCTCTGGCCCTGGAAGAACGTCTCTAGCCCCTACCCCATCTTGCTACAAGGGCAAGAGGCTCAAGGGAGAGCAGCCATCTATTAGTAACTCGTAAGAGATGAAGTGTAAACACCTCCACTCCTTCGCCTCCTGGGGTAACTTCCACACTGGCTGCCAGAGGTCCCCATCAGGACTAAGCCCCGGCTGTCCACAGTACAGGCTGGCTTCTTACAGCATGCTTTGTTGCATGCCTACCTACCCTGCCTCTCTCACATGCCCCTCTGCCATTACTTTCCAGAATCACGTGTCTAGTGAATTTGATTTCATGTCTCAGGTTTGCTTTCAGGAAAACCCAAATTAAAGCAGATAGTCAACTGGAAGTGTCTTACAATTAGGGAGAGATGTGTAGGGAGACACTATTCTTAGGGGGCTTGACCTATACACCCTGCCTGTTCTGTGGGTGAGATGGGCCTGCTCTGTAGGGATGGGAGCTTGGCTGGTTGCCCCTTCATCCTTACCAAGTGGAACCTCGATTTTTAATGAGGCAGAACAAGGGACAGGAAGAGAAGCCCTTCCCTTGCCCCAGAGGATAAACCATGACTGGTCTAATACACTGATGCCGCAGAGGGGAAAGCTGGAGGGACTCTGAGCCCCTGGTGGCATCATTAAGCCACCAAATCATGCTGGCTTCCAGAAATCTTCATAGTTACAACCATTAAATGAGAGAAAGAATTGAGTGTAACTGCAAATGCTCGAACTTGGATCCTAGCTCAGTCACCTAGTTGCTTTGTGATGACCTTGGGCTGCTTACTCTCTCTAGGCTTCCATATCATCATCTGTGAAATGGGGATACTGACGGCCCCACCATCATCACATGGTTGTGAGAATTAAATGAGTTAACGGATGTAAAAGTACATGGCACAGCGCCCGCACACAGTGCTCTTCACATGTTAGCAGCAGCCACTAAGAATGTTAGGCCTGGGCTTCCTGATTTTACCATGCACACAAACCAGTTGAGGATCTTATTAAAATACAGATTCTGTAGAGAGAACTGAAGAAAAAATGAAAATAGAGCTTTTCAAATGGGAGAGGGATGATTAAGAGTTAGAGGGAACAGGAAGGGATGGGAGGAGAAGAGGACAAAAGGACTTAAGATGTGTCATATACATGCACGGACTCTCCACAATAAATGTAATCATTATGTATTGCAAACATGTACTAATAAAAATATATAAATTCTGACCCAGTGAGTCTGGGGTGGAGCCCAAGATTTTATGTCTCTTACACAATCCCAGGGCAGGCTGACTGCTGGACTACACACCACTCTGAATCATAAGGGCTAAAGCCACTGTCTGCTGGTATTATGTCACTGGAGCCCAAGGCATCCTCCTGACAGTGGCCCAACCCACAAACACTCCTTCTCTAGCTCCCAGATCACAGCCAGTTTTCTGTACCTTTCCTTGGCAGCTGTTATCACACCGCTAGTTGCTTGGTCAGTGTCCTACAGTGGACATTCATGGTGGGCAGGGCCTCAGGGGTGCCGAGCCCAATTGCCTGGCATCCTATAGACGCTCAATAACATTTGTTGAGATGAAAATCCACGTGAGAGCGCCCTAGTTCTCCCCTGCAGGAATGATATTCCTGGGGACCCAGGGCATAGTCAGGCTCACCCAGAAGCATCCGGGGCTAGAGCCCATGGAGCTGCTCAAGGGAGGCTGGCTCCCTGAAAGTCTCAGCTGGGCTGGCAGGGGCCCAGGGGGTGGTGAGAGAGAAGAGGACAGTCACACCCCTTCCTGTGTTAGAGGCTGGCATCTGGGTCCAACCAGTGCCCAAAATACTTACAGAACAAGGAGGAAGCTGACCGCAGCTCCATGTTGCCCTGCCCCCTCTGTGCCCCTCCCTTGCCCAGTGCCCCAACCCCTCTTAGGAGGGCAACACTACTCCCACTGCTGGAGCCAGCATCCTTCAACCTTCCTAATCCTTCCTCATTTGGGTTCAACCACACGCACCAGACCCTTTAACAGTTACAACATTTGCTCAGTACTTACTCTGTGCTAAGCACTGTACAGACACGACTGTATTTGGGGTGGCTCATGGTACCCACTAGAATGCAACTGACCCCAAGCGGTAAAATATCCAACACTTAATTAGCAATGCTAACAGTGAATAAATTCCAGAACTTGGCACATGCAGGCCACTGTTCTAAGTGTTTTTTTTCTTATATTAACTCATTCAATCCTCAAAAAAACTCTTTCAGTGGTCTGTACTGTTACTGTCCCTTTTCTATACATGGAGAAATTGGATTTAGAGGGAAAGTAACTTCCCCAAAGACAAAAGGCTACTAAAAAGCAGAACTGAGCCAAAGCCAGGGCTGACTGCTGAGTCCTGGCTATGAACCTGTCCGTAATGTGATTTTGACTCTCTGGTTCTCTCAAGCACATTTTAGCAAGCAATCCTAAAGCCACCTTCCAAGGCCTTTACTTGCAGATACCTTGTCTCTTGCTCACGACATCTTCCTATGTTCTCCCTGTGGGTTAGTCACGTACACTCCTCAGCCTTCCCCGCTCTTCTGAGAGACGGGCCTCGCCATGACCTGGTGCTCCTGACTTGTCATGAGACCAGCCAAGCTCAGAGATGCCTATAGATATGCCCAAGGCCATCCAGAGGGTCAGTGGCAGAGCCAGGACCGCCCCCTGAGCCTCCCGAGCCCACAAGACTCACACATCTGTCAACAGAGGCCTGCCACTCCCCAAATGCTGAGAATGCCTTCCTCCAAGTCCGGCTGCCCTGCCAGGGGTCTCAGGTTAAAGAAAACACTGCCTTCCTCCTCCTCCTCCTTCTCCTCCTCCTCCTCCTCCTCCTCTTCCATCTCCTGCCTGTCCTCCTCTTCCCACCCACTCTCCGGAAAGCTGCTCAGGAGTGGGTGGGACTGCAGTGTCTGCCAAGGCAAGGCTATTCACAAGGCCGGAGAGGCCCGGTTTGGGAGGGGCTGGGGTGGGCAAGGGTTTTGGCCAGGAGGAATCCTCAGCTGAGAGGCAGAGCCAGAAATGAAGGGAGCAGAAGGCGAAGGCAGAGCCCCAGCCCAGGCCAGCCCCTCTCCCCAGCTCACACTTGCTCCTGAATAAGCCCCTCAGCCAGTTCAGTCCATGAGAGACCTTTCCGCCATGACGGAAACAGTCCATTTACTGCACTCACCAACAGTTGCCATAAGCCACACAGTGCTGTTGAGCACTTGAAATATGACTAGTGAGACAGAAGAACAGAATAATTTATCTTATTTAATTTGAATTATTTTACATCTAAACAGCTCTATGCATCTAGTGACATCTGCACAGGACAGTACAGACAGACCTTAGCTCTTCTAAGCCTCAGTTCCCTGATGGGCACAGCAAGGATCATAATACGTCAAGCCCAATCTGCCTTAGAGGGCAGGATGGTGCAGCCACGTGGTGCTGCGGAAATCAGCCCCACCTGGGGATCAGGGCTCCCGGGTTCCAGATGGTAGCATGCTCTGTACCCAGGCAAGCGCCTGAAGCCCTCTGAGTGCCTCGGTCATTTGTACAACAGGAGAGTCACTCTGGGTCGAGGTGTCATGGCCAGAGGCCCAAGGTGGGCTTTAGGGGAACCTGGACACCCCGCCACTGCAAGAAGAGCAGGTTTATGGGTCTGTGTGCGTGAGAATGAGTGTGTGTTGGGGCAGTACAGGCCCAAAGCCTTCCCCAAATACCAGAAAGATGAGAAACCCACAGTTGAGATGAATTCTTTTGCCAGAAAGCTTTTTAAAAATGGAGTTTCTGGACTCCACTCACAGAGACTAACGCAGTGGCTCAGGAGCGGGGCCCTGCCATCTGCACTTGTAATCGGTTCCCCAAAGAAAGATTCAGATGTGCAACCCTGGGTGCGAAACGCTGACCAGACCAGGCGCCAGGCAGCACAGATGTCTTACAGTTACTATACTTTCTATGTTCAAAATCCAACTGGAATTTAATAAACTAAACAAAAGGAAACAATAATGGTGATAAAATCTCTCTCAATTCTCTTATTTACCAACACTGGTGCACAACACGTATGTACCGAACACTGTCCCGTGCTCCGTAAACAACCCGGGATTACATGGATTACAAAGCTTTAACCCTCCTAACACCCTGTGGGGTTGGTGCTATCCACATTATCTTACAGGTGAGAAAACTGGGGCTCAGGAACAGGCTCTGAGAGGGCCACACAGCAGAGTGTGTAGAGCTGGGACTCAGGAGCAGCCTGGGGACCAGAGCCTATGCTCCCCCATCTTGTCCTCAGAGTGCTGCTAACTCCCTGCCTTCTGAAGACAGGTACCACCTGGGAGCCCCGAGCCAGCGCCTCCCCGCAGCCTGGGGACCAGGGCTCCCATGGAACTGGTCAGCCCCACTCCAAGAAGACAGTGAGCCAGGAGGCTGGCGGCCAGGTCGGGGCCCCACACTCACTTGCCCTCCGAGCCGTAGCTGTTCATGCTGTCCTCGATGGACTCGTGGCTGGCCTGCCGCAGTGTCCGGCTGGGCATCTCCACGGCCAGGCCCGTCTCTGTGCTCCGTTGGATGGCTCCCTTCAGCCTCCGGCTGTCTCCTGGGCAAAGAGGCCAAGAGAGATGGGTAGAGACATGGGGTATCTGGTTAGTGTTTATCAGACTGTGGTGAGCCAACTTCAGCCCCGAGCCCACCCTATCCACCTCATCATTACGGGCCTCACCCGCACCCTCTTCCCTGGGGCAGTGCTGCCCTTCACCCTCACCTGGCACACAGCACCATCTAGGATTTTTAAGGGATAGATTCACTTACAGGTACTTTCCTCCCCTGAATTTCACTTCTCCCCTACAACCTTTTCCAAACAATTTCTGCCACCTCTTCAGCTTTTTATTGAGCACCTACTCTCTCTTGGTGCTTTGCATGGATTCAGATCAGGGTTTCCCAGCATCAGCAGGACCAGCACTGTGGCTGGCATAGTGCCTTGTTGGGGAGCAGGGAGACCATCCTACACACTGTGGAGTGGCAGGCCACATCCTTGGCCTCTCTCCACTAGATGCTAGTAGCACCCTCAGTCTATACGTGACAACCAAAAATGTCTCTAGACTGCCAAATATCCCCTAGGAGGCAAAACTCACCCTTGACTGAGGACCACTGACTTAAGACTACTGGCTCTGAAACCAAGGGACCTAGGTTCAACTCTTAAAATTTCTTTCTCATTGGCTGTGAGGCGCTGGGTAAATTATTCAGCCTCTCTGTGCCTCCATTTCTTCAACTGTAAAAGAGGAGAGCAACAGGATGATACACTGGGTATTCCCTCTCTTACCACCACTCACTCCCACACATCCTCTAATCAAACATCATCATATCCAAGGCCTTTTCCACCATTTCCAGCCCCTCCAAAACAGCAGCTCACTCCACTACCTGTCCCTCTCCATCTTAATATCCTGCTTTGGTTTGTCTGCTGGTACTCACCACACCAACATCTTATACATTGTTGGCTTAATGCTGACCAGTGTCCTTCGTGAGGACGGCAAACTCATGAGGACATGGAACTCTGCTCACTGTTGGGAGCCTTTGTGCCAAAAATGGTGTCTAACAAACAGTAGGTGCTCATTAATGAATATGAGATGAACCAGGGTGGCTCTCAGAAGTCTGGAGCCTCACAGCCACCTGTGAGGCAGGTGCTGCTATTCTCCCCACTGTAGTGCCAGGCACAGAGAGGCAGGGAGTAAGCCAGGGTGTGCCTCCAAAGGGTCTGCCTAGCCCTGGACTCTGTGACTTGATGAGTACTCCACCTGACCCATGCGGACTGGGTCTTACTGGCATCTTTCCCAAGGCCCCATAAAGACTGACAAACCTCAAGGGAATCTTCGGTGCTTGCCGACTGATCTGGGGGAAAGCAATGGCTCAGGCCCCATCAACCTGCCCCTGCCAGGAGTCCAGGGTCACTTCCTCTTGGCACCCCTCCTCCCAGCCTGATGGTGGTGTCAACAACCTGCCTGTGAGTATGCAGATACGGGAGCTGTGTGTTTCCTAGGGCAGGTGCCCATGTTTCTGTGTTCAAGCTATTCACATTCACAGATGCCCATATTCTCAGAAAAACACACAGACACACCAGAATACACACACAAAGACATGGTGTGTTAAAGAATGTCTGAGTCTCCATGAGTTTCCATGAGTCTCTAGCTCTCACTCTGTGTGTTTCTTGGGCTAAAGAGGTAGATGTGTGTGCCGGACACACATAGAGTGCACATAGGAAGTCTGCATCTGCTCACTGGAGAAAGCACACAGAGAAAATTCCAGTCTACGTGGTTTTGGGGGATCACCTGGGCATTTCTGAATATGTGCTCCTGCTGTTTCTACTCCATCCCTCATTTCTTATTCCCTCAACTTGCATCTGCAGATTACCAACTACTGTTTCTGTGCTCTTCTGTATAGTAGGTACAGAGACAAAGAAAGGCACAGACATATACACTCTCAGAAACAGACTTGCAGAGATGCCCCACTCGTTCATGCGTGCGCGCACACACACAACTCTCTCTCTCTCTCTCTCTCTCTCTTTCTCTCTCTTCTCTCTCTCTTCTCTCTCTCACATAGCCAGGACAAACACATCCTCTCTTAGGGCTTAAGACCCATGGCCAGGCACCCACTGGCACCTGTAAACATCTGCTGGGCTTCTGACCCAGTGGATCCCTACCTAGAGCCTCACAATGCAATCTCCACCCACCAGGACTGACCCATCTCTCCCGCAAGAGGAAGGAGTCAAGATGACGATCTCTTGGGGCTGAGGAGGACACTGGGGCATGCCGCACATCTGTGGCATTCTACTCCCCTCGTGCACTTCACTGAGTGTTGAACCTCACAACAGCCCTGGTTCCGCACATGAGGAGCCTGGCCCTTTGGTCAGACCACCTAGACAGAGACCAGGGTGAATTGCACAGCGCTTACCCCACAGAGTTGAGGAAAAGTAAGTGACAGACATTTGCCACTGAGCCTGGCACACAGTAGGTACCACCCAGAAGTAGCCACAGCTACTGCAGAAAGACCTGAGACCCCCATATTTAACCTCAACAGCTGCCCTGTTGATGTCCTCATAGACAGACCACCTTCCCCACCACCCTAGGGACCTGGCTGAACTCAACCACACCAGCAGTGCTCACCATCTAACCCTGGCCACTGGGCCCTTCCACTGGTCATTTGTTGCTGATCACAGGCCCCAGAGTGACAGTCCCAATGTTTCCCCGCTCCCCCAATAGGTGATCTTTCTCCCACCTGGCTGAAGATAATTTCTTTGTGTTCGCTCTTCCTCATTACCATATTCATGGCCTCTGGCCTGTCATCTGTCCCCTTGAACCTCTCTCCACTAAGAAGGAGGGCTCTCTCTCTCCTAAAGAGGCTGATCTACATCTGTCCTCACCTCTGCCTCCTCTTCCCCTTACCATGGCCTCTTCTAACCCTCTGTCTTTGCCCTTCCACTCCTCCTGGAGCTCACTCAAGGCTTTACTTCTTCACCATCACCATCCACCAACAGGCTGCGTGAGGGAACAGCCTCTGGACACGTTCTGCCCAACCTCCTGCTCTCTTATCTATTGCAACATGGCTCCCACACCACCCCCACCTTATTCACATGGCCTACCAAGCCAGTCTCCAGGGACTGTGCCCGACCAGACCAGGGCCTCAACTCAGGCCCAACCCCTGGAGCTTGGTGCTTTCACTCTCAACACAGGTTACTGAGCACCCTGGTAGGCAGAGACCCATTCAAGGTGTTACCCACACTTCTAAGGCTGGCCTCCATTGGTACAACACCCCGCAGGAGACAAAGGAATGAACAGCCTTGCTTCCGGTCCACGGGGGCCCAGAAATAGTCCCTCACTTGACCTGCTGTGCTGAACAGTGTGATATTCCACCTAGATTTCCTCCTTTCTACTTTGTTTTTGCTCTACTAGGAATTGAACCTAGGGTCTTGCACATACTAGCCAAATGTTCTACCACTGAGTTATATCCCCAGTCCTTTTTTCTTGAGACAGGGTCTTGCTGAGTTACCCAGGCTGGCCTAGAGTTCACAATCTTCCTTCCTCCACCTTCCTCCACCTCCTGAGCAGCTGGGATTACAGGTGTGTATCCCACGCTTGGCCTGTGAACCCTTTCCCACGTCAGCAAGCATGGGTATCCTCCAGCCTCCACCTGACATGGTTCTTCTCTTGGGCTATGGGTCCATCTGGCTACCACACAGGCAGAGTGTCTGGGAACGTTAAACCCCTGCCCTGCTGCTGCCCTGATCTTAACCGAAGACTACACTGAGTGGAAGAACTGCACGCCAGCTCAGAACAACGTGAGGTGTGGCAGACTCTAGGGCAGGACTGAGGGCTGGAGTGGTCTCTGCCTGCAGGGCAGGCATCTTTCATCTTTCCTGTCGTGCTCCTCCAGTCTCTTCTGGGAGTGCCAACTTCATATACCACCTCACAAGGACCTCATCCTAAGACAGGCTGGCACCCCAAGGAGTCAAAACCCAAAACGTTCACAAAGGTGGTCCCAGCATTGCACAGGAACCATCACAGAGCTACCGCATGATAAATGCTGCTCAGAGGAGGACACACTTTCCAGGGATGGTTATGGGGCCAACCACAGGCTATACACACACCATCAGCCTAAGACGCCGCCGCAGAGGCTTGGAGTCTGAGGCCTATAAGCTCTAGGACTGATGCTGAGACTGTCCTTAAGGCCAACCACCCTCATGTACAATACACTGAGTTTGGATGACCCATTTTTTTCGCTACCCACTCATGTTTGCTGCACCCAAAACTTAACAACTGCACAGCTTGCATTTTCTCCTGCAGAGTCCTAAGATCCTTCCCTCTCAAACTGTACAGAGTAAGTGGGGGAAGGAAGGAAGGTACATGGATTGCTGGAGTCCTGCAGGGTGGGGGGCAGCAATGACTTGGGGGTATCAACCCCACTGCGTGCCAAACACCAAGCTAAATGCTGTGCTAAAGACAGAACAAGGGTGGCATGGCCCCTACCTCCATGGGTTCACAGTTCCAGGGGAGGCTGCCGACGATGACCCGATGATCACACGGACTGATCACAAGTATGCTAAGTGCTTGGAACAGCAAGTGCAACATGTAATGAAACGATTGCTCCCATGGATGGGGAGCAGGAAGGGAGGAGAACAAACTCAGGCTGTTACTTTTGTCCCCGGAGCCAGTCACTTCAGACTCTGCCTTCTTCCACACCCTTGATGGTACATTCTCCTGGGTCTCTTCCTGCCTCTGACCGCTGCCTTTACCCTCCCCTGTTCTTCCCCATTCCTCCACGTTAGGTCTTTCAGTCGGTCCCTCCATACTTGGGGATTTCTTTCCCATCCCACAAATGCACATTAATCCCATTTCTCATTTTGTTGCCCTTAACTCTGACCACAGCAGCAATACCTCAGCTGCACTGTGGACGTCCCTGCTTAGATGAGAAGCAGGTTCCCAGGTTCAACCTGGACCAGATGACACCCAGCGCTGGCCCCACTTTCTCAAGTAAGCTTGTTTGGATTTATGCCCCGATATCAGCTACCCAGGAGTGCAGTGGCTTTTTTCCCTCTCATCAAATGTC